ATATATATATATATAATATGATATGCCTATTATTTTATCCAGATTAATTTTATCTTGGCAACCAGACAGGTCCATAATATACTGTCGATGAAACTTTCCTTAACAGGAAACTGTATCCTGGAGCGGCTCCACCAAAAAATTATTATGTTTGCCCTTTACTGAAAATGTGAAACATCCTACTTAAGTGCATTGGCTAATATTTTATGGTATATTTACTCATAATAATCACACACATATATTAAATGAATATGCAAAAAATGCGTCGTAAATATACGTACTTCTATGATTAAATTTCAGTGTCCCACATTTTTCCGCTCGAGCGACATATATCTATAATTAAATTAAACAACTTTTATTTATCAACGAAAGTTCATTGGAAATTTCTGAAAAGCACGAGGAGATCGATTTTGTTTTGCTTTATAGTTCTTCACTCGTGACACCATAACTAGAACGAATGGTTTTGATTTGTAAAAAACAATAATTAAAAAAATCAGAATTTGTTATGAAGAAAATGAATGAGTGATCACCTCATTCTTGAAGGGCTCTGGAACCCTGTAAATGTGACTATGCATTTGATTTCTCTTCCACGCATCCATTCCTAAGATCGAAAAACAAAATTGATGGAATGATAACTTAAATAAACGGTAAAATACATGGACAAAACAATCCTTCAAAACAAATTAGCTATTACAATATATATATACCTTTTATTGTAGGCAACCTAGGCTTAGAGTAGTGGCCGGTGGCAACAACCACCGCTTCGTATACTTCTTCCACCACCACAGTCGCCTTCTCCGCCTTGCTTTTCACCACCCACTTCAAATCCTTCCCGAAAGAAAGATTTTCCAACATTTCGACATTCTCAACCCTAGTATTGAATCTTATCATCTCTCTCAATCCAAACCTCTCACAAAAGTCTTGTAGGTAAAAGAAAAGTTCCTTATGACCGGGAAATCTCCTCGTATCCCTACCTTTCTTCACGACAAACGGGAAATCTGTGAACCCCATTATCTCCCTCGGCGAAGTTAGCCTCAACGAGGCGTAAATGCTACTATGGACTTTCAAGAAATCACAATCTTGCCCCAATGGATTTTCTTCCTCAACTTTAGGGTTATATAGCCATTGACCTCCAACGTCGTGGCTTTGCTCGATAACCACCACATCGTGGCCTTCCTTCCTCAGCTCACGCGCCGCGACTAGCCCTGCGGGCCCCGCTCCAATCACGCATACTTTCTTCGACGAGTTCCTTTCGTAGACCATGGTGTACGTGGGCTATTTATTTTATTATCGATTCACAACAATCGGATTCTTAAACGAGGTATACGAAACAAACCTGATTTGAATCGTTTGAATTTTGGTGTAGAAGTTATGAGTTGGTGAAATATGAAATGGAAGAGTGTATTTGTAGGCTATCTGTACTTGAAAAGAAAGCCATGTTGTGGGATGGATTGGAGGATTACTAGTTTGGTACATAGGAGACAAACGTGACAATTTTATTTTATTATTTATGATGGTGCATATGGGCTTTTCTGGAAGTCATGTTTGGGAACCTTAAACTGAAAGAAAGAGTGATATATATATATATATATATATATATATATATATATATATAGGTAATCTAGCTATCTTTTTCACTTTAGTGCTATTAACGTGCATGGGATGCGACCCTTATTTTGATGTTGCCTTGCCTAAAAGTAGAATTTATAAGTTGGTGCTACCAACTTTAATTTTATAAAATTAAATGATCAAGTATATCAATAATTATTTTAGAGTTTTAAATGCATATATTTTACATTTAATATGGATGTCCAAAACGAACATCTTGGGTTAAGTTTGATCTTTTGATTGTTTTGTTCATTTTTCAAAAACATTTTTTGACAAACTACAATTAATAATTTTGTATTTGACATATTTGCAAAATAATAATTTTGGATATATTGTTTATCGAAATTGTTGGATATTTGACTCTTGAGTCGAATATAATTTAATTGTTTTGGCTTTCTTAAAAAAATTATCATTTCCAAATTTATTATTATTATTATAGGATTTATTATTTTTAATTCATATTTATTTAGTGGGCGGATTGTTAGCTTAGTGGGTAGTTATTGAATCACATGTTTAACTAATCCACAAATCTATTATCCTACTAACCCATTATCTCTCCTAATGTGTTTATTTCGTGTAGGGCGAGGAGCTCTTGGTCTCTATAAATAGGAGACAACTCAGTTTATTTCTCACATTTTCTGCAGAGAGTTGAGAGCACAGAGCTACGGGTGTTGGAACACCTTTACCAACACCTTGTTTTCTTAATGGATTTCTCACTACATAATTGAGTCATTTGTATTCTTTTGAATACTGTTTTGTATTCCTAGAGAGCTGTTAAGCTATAGATTCTAGGAATTGATTTACCAAGAAATCAACTCGTGATTTCTTCTTAGAAGAGAAGATCTTGACTTCTTATTCGCATTCTTTTGAATATTGTTTTGTATTCCTAGAGCTGTTAAACTATAGAGTCTAGGAATTGGTTTATGAAGAAATCAACTTGTGATTTCTTCTTAGAAGAGAAGATCTTGACTTCTCATTTGTATTCTATTGAATACTGGTTTTTTTTCCTATGAAGGCTCCATCCACAAGTTATATGCTTGTGGATAATGATTTAAAACTTGTGTCATTTATATCGCGCTGCAAAATCTTTTTCAACACAAGTTTTTGTTTATTTGAAAGAAGTCTCTGATTTTATATCGATTCATATTATTTTACACAAATACGGAGGCATGAATTCTTTCAATTGGCATCAAGAGCCTACGCTTGATGTATACTAAGTGTTCGATCTTGTGTGGTTATTTTTACAGTGCACGAATTCATATGGAGATTCAATATGGTTGTATACCTTTGAGTGTATTTAATAAATCTAATTTATGTGCATCTTCTTCTGCTCATTATGATTTCATTGACGATAAAAAGTCACATTTTTATGCAGAAATTAAAAATTCTTCATTTTTTAATAAAAAAATCAATTTTTTCTCAAAAGCCATATTTCATAAAAAAAAAAAAAGATTTGTCTGTCATTACTGTTTTGCTTTTGGTCATGTTAGGACTTTCTGCCGAAGAAAGAAAAGTGATGAGATGTTGTATAAAATGTCACACGATATTCGAAACAACATTTCTAGAACTAAAACAATTTTGAAAAATATAAAGATAATATGGGTTCCTAAGTCAGGTCTAAGCTGTAATGTTGCTAGAATTTCTATGAAGACTGATGATATGCCTAATTGGGCCAACCCAATGGGCCTACAATTTCTTTACCTACTGGGCTACGAGCCCAATATCGAAGACTAATATCAACGAGGCCCAAACACCTTCAAGTAAGGTTTGGGCCCAACAAAGCAAACCCAACCCAATAAACGACATATAAATAGAGGTTTTACTCATTTTATTAAGGTACGTCCTATTATCTGAGCAATACTACTAATGGTATTCTCTGGACTATTTTTATGATCAGCACGTCTGACTTGAGCGTCGGAGGGGTTTCCGCCGGATCAACCCCCGGCTTAGCTTATGTGTTCTATGATCGCAGGTACCTCAGGATCATCAAGTTGTCAAGCTACTGATCTGCTTTGCTCTCCCAGTTCGTTTTCTACACCACCCTAGGTGAGCTAGTAATTAGCATCATCATTTTGGCGCCGTCTGTGGGAACGATGCAAACCAGATCACGTAGCCAACAAGATCCTCCTGAGGCGTCTGCTCGGAGAGAAAATGACACAGCTAACGACCTCCCACCTTGTGGAGGCTCTGGCTTGCCACCTCCTCCACATCCCATGGATCCGCCTCGCGAGGTTCAGGTGATCCCCCCTTGGGACCCACCACTCGCCGATCCACCACTCCCTGCTCCTCGAATGGTTCAAATAACCGAGGATGCGCTTCAACGCATGATAGCAGAAGCTTCAACTCGCGCTGCCACAGAGGCCGAGACCCAATATATCGCCACGATGGGAGCAAATGCTCCCAACGCGATACCAGCACCTGCTCCACATGTGGAGCCACCTATGGCACCACCGCCATCGACTCCCTGGGGGATTACATCTGCCCCCAAAATATTTCGCTCGCCAAGGGTTATCAACTCCCTGGGGGTAAACAGTGCCCCCAAAACATTTCGCTCGCCAAGGGTTATCGACTCCCTGGGGGCTTACATCGCCCCCAAAATATTTCGTTCGCCAAGGGTTATCGACTCCCTGGGGGCTTACATCTGCCCCTAAAATATTTCGTTCGCCAAGGGTTATCGACTCCCTGGGGGTTCACAGTGCCCCCAAAACATTTCCTTCGCCATGGGTCATCAACTTCTACTTGCTCCTCTAACGGTTCAGATAACCGAGGAGGCCCTTCAACTTATGATTACGGAAGCATCTTCCCGCGTTGCTACTGAAGCAGTAGCACAACGCATCGCCACAACGGAAACCAACGCTCCTCCTGTGGCTCCACCCATAGCAAAACCTCAGAACAACAACCAACTTGCCACGTGCAGGTTCAGGTTTGACATGTCTCAGGACGTCACCTGACATCGTGACCGAGATCCCCTTCTAGACCCCCTCGTGATGATCCTCGAGGCTATCTTCAAGATGACACTTGAGGTCGCGCCCCAGATCCACTTCGAAACCTTCAGCAAGACCCTCATCAACCAGCTCCACATCACATGGTTCAGATAACCAAAGAGGATATTCGACATATGATCGACTAGGCCATTCAGATGTCCTACTTCAGCTACATCTGATGTCATACCTCAGGTACATCAGATGTCCTGCTTCAGCTACATCTGATATCATACCTCAGGTACATCAGATGTCAACTACATCTGATGTCATACTTCGAGTATATCAGATGTCCTACTTCAACTACATCCGATGTCATACCTCAGGTACATCAGATGTCATGCTTCAGCTACATCTGATGTCATACCTCAGGTACATCAGATGTCAACTACATCTGATGTCATACTTCGAGTACATCAGATGTCCTACTTCAACTACATCTGATGTCATACCTAAGGTACATCAGATGTCCTACTTCAGCTACATCTGCTGTCATACCTCAGGTACATCAGATGTCAACTACATCTGATGTCATACTTCGAGTAATCAGATGTCCTACTTCAACTACATCTGATGTCATACCTAAGGTACATCAGATGTCCTACTTCAGCTACATCTGCTGTCATACCTCAGGTACATCAGATGTCAACTACATCTGATGTCATACTTCGAGTACATCAGATGTCCTACTTCAACCACATCTGATGTCATACCTAAGGTACATCAGATGTCCTACTTCAGCTACATCTGCTGTCATACCTCAGGTACATCAGATGTCAACTACATCTGATGTCATACTTCGAGTACATCAGATGTCCTACTTCAACTACATCTGATGTCATACCTCAGGGTACATCAGATGTCCTGCTTCAGCTACATCTGATGTCATACCTCTGGTACATCCGATGTCAACTACATCTGATTGTCTACTTCGAGTACCTCAGATGTCCTACTTCAACCACATCTGATGTCATACCTAAGGTACATCAGATGTCCTACTTCAGCTACATCTGCTGTCATACCTCAGGTACATCAGATGTCATACTTCGAGTACATCAGATGTCCTACTTCAACCACATCTGATGTCATACCTAAGGTACATCAGATGTCCTACTTCAGCTACATCTGCTGTCATACCTCAGGTACATCAGATGTCCTACTTCAGCTACATCTGCTGTCATACCTCAGGTACATCAGATGTCATGCTTCAGCTACATCTGACTTCGAGTACATCAGATGTCCTACTTCAACTACATCTGATGTCATACCTCAGGTACATCAGATGTCATACTTCAGCTACATCTGATGTCATACCTCAGGTACATCAGATGTCAACTACATCTGATTTCCTACCTCAGGTAAATCAGATGTCCTACTTCAACCACATCTGATGTCATACCTAAGATACATCACCTCAGGTACATCAGATGTCATACTTCGAGTACATCAGATGTCCTACTTCAACCACATCTGATGTCATACCTAAGGTACATCAGATGTCCTACTTCAGCTACATCTGCTGTCATACCTCAGGTACATCAGATGTCCTACTTCAGCTACATCTGCTGTCATACCTCAGGTACATCAGATGTCATGCTTCAGCTACATCTGATGTCATACCTCAGGTACATCAGATGTCAACTACATCTGATGTCATACTTCGAGTACATCAGATGTCCTACTTCAACTACATCTGATGTCATACCTCAGGTACATCAGATGTCATACTTCAGCTACATCTGATGTCATACCTCAGGTACATCAGATGTCAACTACATCTGATGTCATACTTCGAGTACATCAGATGTCCTACTTCAACTACATCGGATGTCTTACTTCAAGTACATGAGATGTCTTATAGCCACGAGAAAACTCTCGAGTCGCTACTACGTCGCAGCGGGACAACTCCCCCGACGCCTACACTTAGCCTCGAGACAGCTCTTGAGTCGTTACCACGTCGCAGCGGGACAACTTCCCCGACA